CATGTGCAACGAGGAAAATCCACACAGACAACATGAAGACAGGATTTTTTGGATGTTCGAATCCGGTACTGGAACTGGTTAGAAATTGCTAACATCTTCAAATGGATATCAAGATCCTTTTTGCTGGCATAAATGGCATCAACAACAATTCTAGTAGGATCGAACCGAGATGTAACGTGCATCTCCTTCATTGTGGCAATGTCCTGCTGAGACATTACATAACCAGACGGGTTGGATTGAAGGTAGTTCCTGCAATCAAGGTCGTTGGTTTGGACGTTATTCTCAGGAATTTCATCTCCACGAAATGTGTCGAGTACAAACCCGGGCGGAAATCGCATTTGTGATGGTATAACGCCTTCATCCCAAATGCACAAGGTTTGGTTTGCTCCAAAATCAGAGAGAGAGCCATCTGATTCTGTATCTTCGCAGCCGCTTGAATTGGAGACGGAATGATGACAAAGAAGAGGTTGATGTAACTCCGAAAGGACTAAACCTCCTTTAGGAGCGACAGTTTCAGAAGAATTACCTATTTCAACACACAAAGGGAATTCACGTGTACCACAGTGAATGCTCTTCAACCGAATGTATGCATAAAGGCTCGTATCATCATCAATCACAACATGAGTCGAGCATGAATCAGACATATGTGAAATCTTAAAAACTGAATTTTCATAAGAGGATGGTACCGTATCACGAATGACCTCCAACAAATCAGTGAATGATGACTGAAGCGGAATGTCGATCTCATATGCATGTGTGTAGGAGAAGCCACCATGACCGCCCCATTTTCCGTCAAATTGCAACAGACAATGGATGGCAGCCGGTTTTGACGATACAGAAGCAAGCAATGAAGCAAACATGGTGTTACGCTACTGTGAAGGCGCGAAGAAACTTGGTGGTGGCCGACTCTGCTTTGGGGTAGAAACCTAAACCAGCGGTTTAGGTTTCTAATTACCTTCATTTGCGAAATGCATGAAGGTAATTAGATTATTTTTGAAAAAAAATCAATTGGATCGTTTCAATTAAAATATAGTAAGAATTAATACCTGAAGCAATTGCTTAGCTATTCCCATAATTGATCACATTTATATTTCGTTATGCATTTGTGTACATGTGTATGTGAAATTTGTCTATGTGTATATTTTGTTATGATTATGTGTTTGTGTCGTTATGTATTTGTGTACATATTTCATTGTGCAATTGGTTAATATACACAATGAAATTTGTCTATGTGTATATTTTGTTATGATTATGTGTTTGTGTCGTTATGTATTTGTGTACATATTTCATTGTGCAATTGGTTAACCAATCTGTCTCGGCATATTGTTGTGTACACATTTTAAAGCATAAAATGTGTACAAAATGTATATAAGTATATTAATATTCGAATCATAAAATGTATAAATACTTTCATAAATCCATCAATACTTTCGAATCATAAAATGCATCAATAATTTCGTAAATGTTTTTATACTTTAATTATTATTGTATAAAAAAGCAATTGGTCAAGCAATCTGTCTCGGCATAAGTCATTTTGTAAATGTATCAATACTGGATTTTGTTTGAAGGACAAAGATTTTGTTTCGGCCACACATTATTTTCATAAAGAAGCTTAAGACTAAAAAAAAGTTGTAAGAAATATTACCAATGAGAAGTTGATCATTCAAACATGGTTGACTTTGAAGAATTAAAAATGGCTTCAAGTCGAACATCATCCGGGGGAAATTATTCCGATTTAAAGTTTTCACTTCGGTCTTTTTGAAAAAACCCAAGAGCTTATCATTGCTAGCAGTTTTCAACCTTTGATAGTTGTCATGGACAAAAACATTTCGAATGGCGTAAACACCACCCTCAATGATTTGCTTTTCAAACTTCTCTTTTTCCCCCCGAGCAAGATGTGCATGAATCCTAGTCCCCTAAAAAAGTATACAAAATGAGATTATGAATTTTGGGTTGAAAAAAAAAACAAATGTAATAACTTGTAGAATACATTACATGCTCATCGTGAAAGACGATCTCCATGGAATCTCCACCTTTCGCCCATTTAGGAACGAAGTAAACCCGAATAGCCCTCAACATGAGAATCCAAGAATTCTTATCGCTGTTGAGTTCCGCAATTGGAGTGAACATTGACATGGACCTGTTTTCGGAATTTTGAGCCATATTTTTGGTATATATGAAGCTTACTCCGTATGTTAATATCACTGGTTTGGATGGAAAGAGGTGTAGGTTTGGATGGAAAGAGGTGTATATATATTATTTGGGAAAAGAAAGTAAGTTTAAGCACATTAAATGCTTGGATTTTGTAAATCTAACTATTAAATTGATAAGATGTAAAACATTGATATGGCACACTTCCACATAAAGCATTATTACATTGCTTTATGGAGGCATGCCCAATTCAGCTCCAATGTCGGCCCAAGTCCAGCAGCAAGGTCCGGCCCAATCGATGGTGGTGAAAAAGGCGGGAACACTATTCCTAAGAGCCTCTTACCATTGTATATAGGAGGATGAGTGAAGAAATTGGAAAGAGTTGAAAAAATGTTGAAAGAATTAAAATGTATAAAATAATCACCTAAATAAATATATAAGAAAAATCTAATTTTAGATTAAAAAACTCATCCTTGTCGTGTTTGACTTGATAGATTATAAATTTGGATATATAATTTTATTTTATATTGATCATATATAAATATTTTTTTAAAATCATTTTAGAAGAAAGCAAAAGGAGTTGGAAGGAACTAGAAAATGTTGGAAGAAACTCCACTAGTCCACTGGAAGGGCAAATTTTATAGTGGACCTAAATACAAGGGAAATAAGCAAATTGTAACTATCTAAATGAGCATTTATTTTAATTTTTAAAAAAAAACATGTAAGAAGGTGCACAAAATTGGTTTGCACCCAAGGTGCACTACATAAGCACTCTGCTGGGAGATGTTGGAAGCTAATTTTTCCAACCCCAAAGAATAGAGCTTTAATTTATTTGTCTTCTTATTTTATTTTCTTTTTTTCCTATCTGACCAAACAAATAAAAATATTTTCCTTCTTTTTTATTTTCTCTTTCAATTTTCTTGAACCAAACATAATTTTAGACACACAATCTCACATGTAGAGCATAATGTTACTAGGATATATCTGTAGTACTTAACTCTATCCACCCAAAATGTAAAATTAGTTGATTAATTTAGCACTTCAGTAAGAGCACTCTATTCACAAACAGGATATTCACAAACTTTACAAACTTACTATTTATAGTTTAACTTTTCATTTTAAAATTATTGTAGACTATTTAATTTTATTTATTGAAGTTCAAAATTAGTAAGTTTGTGAAATTTGTGAACATTTTATTTGTGAACCAAGCATTATTCCTTCAGTAATAATGGTTTGGTATAGAATTTTTTGTTCTTATTTTTGCAAAGTCATCCTGTAGTATTTTGAATACGTTACGGTTCAATTTGGTTTGGATTAAAATTTGTAGGGTATTTCTCCGGTGCCCTGTAAAGTGAGAGGGCATGCATGCCCCTCCACCCATTGAATGCCATGTGGATAAATAGGCATGAGTCATATTAATATTTTCCACATCAATTAAGTTTCTGAAATTGCTAAAAGGCCCATAGTTTTGCTTCGTTAAAACTCCCCCAACCCCCATTCGCCGTTTTTCTCCGTCTCCGTTTATCACAGCTGCCCCAACCCTTCTGCCGTTTTACTCCGTCCCAGTTTTTTTCGTGAGACTGATGCACAAAATGTTATGGACTGAAACCATTGCAAGGTATGGGACTTGTCCCACATCGGTTGTATGGGCAATTGATGTGGGGTTTATAGGCCAAATGGGTTCCCTCACCTATCAGACTAGGTGTTTCCGTGAATTTTTTCAATTAAGCATTATCCGAAGACTTGGCCAAATGGGTGTGATTTTGACTAGGCCAAATGGGTTCCCTCACCTATCAGACTAGGTGTTTCCCTCACCTAACAGACTTGTCTCTGTTACGATGTGTCCGTAACAGAGACACATCGGCGCTGCAAGTGAAATAGGTGTTTCCGTGAATTTTTTCGTTGGGTTCTACTCCGTCTCCGGTTATCTCTGTCGTCCGTCATCGTGCTTTATCAAGCTAATTTATTAACTTTATAACTAACTACATTTTTTTGCAAGTTGCATTTACTGTATTTTTTTTGAGCTGCACTTCAAATTAATTTTTGATATTATATTATTATATTATTATTATTATTATTATTATTATTATTTCATAAAAAATGGCACTATAAAACTTATGAATATTTTTCGATAGTTCTATATAAATATTTTTTGTGAAACAACATTACAATAGTTGTGAAAATAACACAACTATTTTTCTCTAAAATAGAACTTTTTTTTATAACTCACTACATTTTCTGATGTATTGCAATTTTTTCATGAACACTCTGAAATATTTATTGATAATCTTATATTGCCAATAATATTTTCTTTCTAAAATGGAACTACCCAATTTGTGATTTTTTTATAATTCAATACAAATTTTCCCCTAAAATAGTAATTCAAAAGTTGTGAGAATGACATAATATTTTTTTTTCCGAAACGGCACCCATATATTTTATAAATCACTACAATTTTTTTATTGTAATTTATTTCTTGATCGATACTCTGAATTGTTTTTAATAATTCAATATTATATTTTTCCAAAACATTTAACAAAATTTGTTAATCGTTAGACAAATCTCTAACAAGAGTGTATTGTTATATTTTTAAAAATATTAATTTTAAATTTAAAATTAAAAAAGTAAAAAGTAATTTTTCCTAAAATAATCACATCTTTTATTTATTTGTGAAAAAACAAGCATTTTCTAAAACTTTCGTTAAGTGGCCGTTAGTTTTTTAATGGCGACCCAAAACTCGCACACATGCGAAAATGTGAGATTATTTCTGGTGACAGTGAAAAGTGAGATTATTTTTGAAAGAACGAGAAAAGGTAGAATTATTTGAGATAATTTTTCCTTTAATATATTGAAATTTTGAATAATTTGATAGTATGGATTACTGTAGTTTAGAATTTTACATTTTAGTTTTGTTTAAGAAATCCAAGTACAATGTTAAATTAAATAAAAAGCAAAAAACCAGTTCATGAACCGGTGCTATCTCCTTACATTTTAGTTTTGTTTAAAATGACCCGACATTGTTCCGAATAGAGACCAATCTGGTATCAAATTAAAAAATGAGTTTTCAAATGAACTTTATAAATTTGGGTATTTCTCCGGTGCCCTTGTAAAGTGAGAGGGCATGCATGCCCCTCCACCCATTGAATGCCATGTGGATAAATGGGCATGAGTCATATTAATATTTTCCACATCAATTAAGTTTCTGAAATTGCTAAAAGGCCCATAGTTTTGCTTCGTTAAAACTCCCCCAACCCCCATTCGCCGTTTTTCTCCGTCTCCGTTTATCACAGCTGCCCCAACCCTTCAGCCGTTTTACTCCGTCCCAGTTTTTTCGTGAGACTGATGCACAAAATGTTATGGACTGAAACCATTGCAAGGTATGGGACTTGTCCCACATCGGTTGTATGGGCAATTGATGTGGGGTTTATAGACCAAATGGTTCCCTCATCTTCGTCCATTTGGTCCGTAACAGAGACACATCGGCGCTGCAACTGAAATAGGTGTTTCCGTGAATTTTTTCGTTGCAACTGAAATAGGTGTCTCCTTTTGCGTGTCTCTTCTTCGTCTCCTTCCTCTTTTTCTACCTCTTTGTGTTCTTGATTCTTAATAACATGTAGTGTCCAATTTAGATTTTGATTTAGTTATTGCTCTGTTTTGATATTTGAGCTTCCAATTTTTTCTTTTGGGGAAACACAACTTTTACTTTCAGTTTTTAAAGCCTCAATTCTTCTATGTTTGATTTTAATTTCTATTTCAGGTCCCCTTATTTAATTTAGATTTTGAAATTTCTAAGATTTAGGTTTACATCTGATTGATAATGCTTAATTGAAATTGAATTGGCAAGTTTTAAAAATTTAGGGTTTACCTCAGCCTGAAAATTTATTTACTTCTATTTTATTTGTGATTAATTAAGCTGACTTTTCTGGTTTGATTAATCAAAATTGATGTTGAATTTTGTGGCTTGGTTCTGCTTGATAACCAGAAATATTTCAAAAACATAGGGTCGTTAAATTTCTATACCTTTACTGGTTTGGAAAATTTATAATTGAGGTCGCTACACTATTTTAAAATCCTAGTGATGTTGATGTAATTGCCAATACCTTGTTGAATATGTCCCTCCTCAACAATTGCGGTTGGTTCATGTTAGGATTAGTGAAACCACAAGTTTGATCACATATACGAACACTCAAATAAGAATAAGCAAAGTATTTGCACTGTTGAGTGCTATGTCCTTCCACTAAACAAATTTCACACTTAAGCTCTTCTTTTTTCATTTCATCAAAATAATCACATATTTGAAATATCCTACACACTTGCAGTGCTCTTTCTTGATCAGATTTGGAAAGGGCAGAGTATTCAGCGCAGGATTCCATATTTTAGAAAACAGATAGTACAAGTGAGGTCAAGAGAACATACCTCAGCTGCTCAACTTACTCAAATGTATTTACTAGCCCAGAACTGAACCGAAACACGATAACAGACTATTCCAAGCACACAAGAGAATCAAACAGATATGTTTCTTTTTGAAAAACCAAACAGTAGCTAAACAATAGAGAACAAACACACAAACTTATCAAACATAAAACAAAGTAAAACAACTTAAAAGAGTGCTAAGAACAAACAAGTGACTCTCCCCGTTGTATATGAGTAAGGGGATTCCCTACTTGCTTCAGGAGTTGGAGGTCTATTTTCGTTTACATAAATGATTTTTTTATTGTAATTTAGTGCCAATCAATTTTCAGGGAATTGATGTATAGAGTATGCTACAGAAATCAATTTGCTTTTTGTGTTAATCTCTTTGTGATCTTGAATGTAGTTTAGCATTACTCTGTGTGGAAGGCAATTAATAGACTAAAAGTGACCAAATTTCAAAACTGAATTGCTTCATGAAATAGGCTCAACCTTTATTCAGCTTAATTACTGCTTTATAGCAGAAGAGAATATTCGAAAAAGAAAAAGAATAGGCAATCGATAAGAGTTATTGATTTCTTTGCTTATTCTGACCCTCTCCTTACTATGGGATGGATTAGTTGCTCTGGTGGTATTTCCTTGTTCATTATGGCTGTGTGTGTGGTCTTATTTGGATGCTTTGTATGGTTGCTGATTCTTGGAAGTCTTTTTCAGAACAAAAGCCATTACTCAGCTAGGGTTATGGAGAAGTTAGGGTATTATGGGTGCAATCTTCCCAATTCTTGTATGTTTTTGATATGTGACATGAACTACAATCTTTACATCAGTATGATCTTAGAGAATATCCAGGTTTTGCTTCATTAGTGCCAGCGCTGGACAAATCTAATTATGTGTCCCATCCAAGTTGCTGTGGTAATAAGTTAGGCCGGCCTCTAAGTAGAAGCTGAGCATACCTGATTCTGTGTCCCATCCAGGTTTTACTTCATAATATATTTTCCTAACCTTGGTGGGTGTGATTTTGAGTAGTCAGGTGCTGTTGGCCTAGCTTATTAGGTGCATTGTGAGTTTCGTCCTACCCGTATGGTGCATTTGGGTTTTTTTTATTGTTGTTTGTTTCATCCCATGGCATTTGGTCTTTTTGACCTGTTTGTGGCATTTGGTCATGCCCCTGGAGTAGTATTTTCTTATTTGTTTGATCTTATGTGGCATTGGTCATGCCATAGCTTAGTTTAAATGTGTTTGTAGTTCTGACCTGTTTGTGGCTTTGGTCAATCCGTATGATAGGATCCCCTTATTCCTTTCTTTGTTTTCTTTGTACTCCTTGGCCGGTTTGTCTTCCCTAGGAGGGGTTGGATTTTGGCTTTCCTTTGGCCTCTCTCACCTTGTAGCGATGTGGTATCTTAATAGGGTGACATAGAGTTAACCACTTTTTCCATGCTCATTTTGGCTTTCGTTTGGCCGTCTCTCACCTTGTAGCTATGTGGTATCTTCATAGGGTGGCATAGAGTCGTCTTCTCTATCACTTCTGTGTCATATAACATCTGGATGGAGCTCTTACACCTTGCCGTGCTACAAACGAGATTTTCCCTCCTCTGGTAAGACTAAACATTTGTATTATAATACTTTGTACTAACAATTATTATTATTATTTTGAAGATGCATCTAAGATTCATATGTCTAACAAGATTACTCAATGCAACCACCTGCCCACAACTATTCTTTCCTCTCGGAACCGAGTTTTTTGCATCTGTACTTTTAGGTTGGTCTGCATATTGAACTTTTTTGGGACATTGCGCCTAAGTATGTGCTGAGGATATAGATTCGGCTGAGGTGTGCTATTTGTCATCAAACTTTTGGTTGGAAATGCTGATTCAAGGCTGATTGAGGGTGATCATCAGGCTTATACTGCCAAAATGTTATATGCTTGAAGACAAAATGACGACAATATGTCATTACTACACAGACTTATGGGTTTGATTACATGTATCTATATTTTTCATTAGGTTCTTGTTGAATGTCTAGGACATTTATTGTAATCTTTTTTTTTGAGAGGCTTCGGTTGAGTCCTCTCCTAATGTACTCTTACTTTTTATTAGTAATATTTCTTTCTTAAAAAGTGTGTGCAAGAACTTTACAGGAGAGTTTTTAAAATAATGTTATTATTTTTTTGGGTTAGACACTGAATACTTATTCACGGTCTACAATCCTCACCTTACACATCGGATAAAAATGACTTTACACAACGAAAAGCATCTGATGTATATTCAACCGATGGGAAAGGTGCCGACTTTATAGAGTGGATAAATATCCATTGTCTATAGTATAGACATCAAATATTTATCCGTTGTCTAAAGTTAGCACCTTTCCCATTGGCTAGATGTAAAGCGGCTATATTCCAATGTGTAACGCTAATTTATTCGATGTGTAAAGTATATTCTCTACTAGTGAATTTTGATGTTTTGTAGCATAAAAATTTTGTTGGTTTGGAATTGAATCATTTTTTCAAAATTATCAAATCTCACATTTTCAATTATTTAACACTACAAAGAATTTGAAATTCATAATTTAGACCCCGTTCCGTTCAACTTTTTTTCTTCTTATTTTTTCTTATTCTTATTAAATTAGATCAGATCACAACAGATTTATTTAGATCGGATCAGATCGAATCAGATCAGATTAGATCCAATCAGATCAGATCAGTCTAGATCAAATTCAATAATATCAAATCAAGAAAAATATAAATAATAATATTTATATTTTTAAAGGATTAAATAATAATTACTATTATTTGATTAAATCACATTACTTTATTTAAAACTACAACTACCTAAATCTTAATTAATATTATTATTTTAATTATTATTTTTGTTATATTATTATTAGTATTATTGTTCTTATTATTATTATTGTTATTATTATTATTATTATTAGTATTATATTTCAGCTACAAACCATTATTTTTAATAATTGCTTAGCTTATAAGATAGCATGGAAGCAATGTTAAAACTTAAAAGTTAGTGTTTTTCATACTTTAAAAAGAGTTATTTTAAAATACTTGTTTATAAAATAATTTTAAAAAACTTAGTTTTCAAAACCATAAATACTTTATACTCAAAAAAACTTGCTTTTAACCTTTAGGATGATACAATATACACAAGGGTGAGTTTATGACGAAATTCATAGAGGGGAAAGGAATATTAGTGTTTAAAATTTTATATGATCTTTAATTTGTGGCATGAAATATATTACTCCCTCCGTCCTATAATGATCTTCCCAGAGCACTATTCCAACTTCACGGGAATTTATATTTATTTGTGTTTTTCATGGCCTATATGATAAAATAAAATATTCTTGTCACCACTTGTTTTGTTGAACTTTTGGTGTAGTTTTTAAATATGTATGTTTTATTTTTTATTTCTATACCAATATTTAAATAAAATAAATTGAAAAAACTTGGGATTTTTCTTCGTTTTGCGAACCGGGAAGATCATTATAGGACGGAGGGAGTATTATGTAATATGCATATAGAATGGAATATTTTTGTAGAATAATATCAATATTTTCTAACATTTAGTTATTTTAATCCAGATTATTTAGTTTTTAAAAAATTAAAAAAGTTGTAATATTGAAAAGATGTTTAATATTTTTAAAAAAAGTTTAAACATATCAATGATTACCTATTTTTCTTATTTTACTTTTTTATGTATATATGAATTGTAATACTCTAAAACTATTAAATTTTGTAATAATTTTAAGTTTAATTTAAATCAAATTTAAATTCATTTACACTAGATCTAATTAGATAAAATCAAATCCAATCAGCTCAAATCAGATCCAATCAGATCAGATCAGACCAATCAGATAAAATCAGATTCAATCAAATCAAATCAGATTTAATCAGATTAGATCAGATCCAATCAGATTAGATCAGACCCAATACGATAGCGATATCGTTAACTTGGTAACAAAAGACATTGAGTAACATGGCTATTTTAAGATAGGTCAACAGTCTGATAGAAAGAGCATGACAACATACATATGCATGCCATAACAGAACTGGAATTCATTATCTAAATCTAATATTCTGAAATTAAAGCGAATCGAAAAGTTAGAATTCACTCTCTAATTATTTGTTATGAGTGGTTGTGTTATTGTTATGTATGTTAGAGCTGGCAAATCGGTCGGTCAGGTTGGATTCGGGTTTGGTCATTTCGAGTTCGGGCTAATTTCATCCTCGCTGTGAATTTCATAAAGTTGTATATGCTAATCCTTGTATGCTAATTTCATTCTTGCTAAGAATTTCTTATAGTTTTTCTTTGAATTTCATAAATTTTTAAGCTACTCGTTGTAAGCAAATTTCATTCTTGTTTTGAATATCATACTTTTTTTATTCATTTTCTAGAATATATCATTTGTTGTAAAGAAGATACAGATTAAGCAATTGTGTTGTGTGTTTTCATTTGTTTTTCCTAGAAGATGAGCATATCTGATTATGTGGTTCTTCTTGAGGTGTGATTTTCATGCGAAACAAAATCCCAGATTTGAAGTCTTCAAATTAATATTGGTTATGTTAATTTTCTAAAAAGAAGTTTCTGTTTATTTAATGGGTTTTCAAGAAAAGAATTTGCAGTCTACTTTTTACTTATATTTTGTCTTCCATTTGTTACCCATCCCTAGGATGAAATTGAAGGGAATAGAATGTCATATAGTACTCCAGTCCCTTTACTTATATGTCTCCTGGCAATTTAAAACCATTCAATTTTAAAATTTACTCTTTTTAATTGATGTTAATAAATATCAATGCCCAGACTCTCCTCATGGCTCCAAAAATTAAGAAGTCATTGTATTTTCTTTCTCGTATCCGTGCAGAGAACAATCAATTGGCTAGGAAAAGACTTGCACTTAGAAAAAGATCCCCTTCAATTTGAAGAATTTAAGGAAAACATCAAGAAGGCTTCTTTGATTGAATTATCGTCAAGGTAATGCAATACAATACTTTATCATTCTATTTATTACTCCTGTGCTATTGACAGTAGTGGCAACTCTAATCATATTTGCATACTCACAGTGGCTTTAATAGTAATTGTCGTTGTAGAGTTGAGGTAGGTGTTAAACTTAAAACTGAATTTGGGAAGATATTATTGTGTATTAATCTCAATGACCTTAGAGAACTTGCGTTATAACTAGTTTTCTTGTAGTGGATACCAATTCTTTTCAGGCCTCCGACAAGGATGATTTTAAATGAAGTGGAAGCTGGAATTGTTGCATATGTTTTTGGCCGCAATAAAGATTTTGATAGGTACAAGTTCTGAACACTCATATAAATTCGTATTACGCTTTAATGGTACAATGTTTAAGACTGATTCACGTAACCCTGTATAAATGTAATGTCCCTAGGGAAGAGATCCTGATTGAAACAAACTACATGACGGGAAAAAGGGAAGCACTTAGATCTCTTATCCCCAACGAAATGATAGAGGGAGAGGTAACTGATTGTGTTCTTGTAACATACGAAATAAAAACAAGAACACAATCAGTTACCTCTCCCTCTATCATTTCGTTGGGGATAAGAGATCTAAGTGCTTCCCTTTTTCCCGTCATGTAGTTTGTTTCAATCAGGATCTCTTCCCTAGGGACATTACATTTATACAGGGTTACGTGAATCAGTCTTAAACATTGTACCATTAAAGCGTAATACGAATTTATATGAGTGTTCAGAACTTGTACCTATCAAAATCTTTATTGCGGCCAAAAACATATGCAACAATTCCAGCTTCCACTTCATTTAAAATCATCCTTGTCGGAGGCCTGAAAAGAATTGGTATCCACTACAAGAAAACTAGTTATAACGCAAGTTCTCTAAGGTCATTGAGATTAATACACAATAATATCTTCCCAAATTCAGTTTTAAGTTTAACACCTACCTCAACTCTACAACGACAATTACTATTAAAGCCACTGTGAGTATGCAAATATGATTAGAGTTGCCACTACTGTCAATAGCACAGGAGTAATAAATAGAATGATAAAGTATTGTATTGCATTACCTTGACGATAATTCAATCAAAGAAGCCTTCTTGATGTTTTCCTTAAATTCTTCAAATTGAAGGGGATCTTTTTCTAAGTGCAAGTCTTTTCCTAGCCAATTGATTGTTCTCTGCACGGATACGAGAAAGAAAATACAATGACTTCTTAATTTTTGGAGCCATGAGGAGAGTCTGGGCATTGATATTTATTAACATCAATTAAAAAGAGTAAATTTTAAAATTGAATGGTTTTAAATTGCCAGGAGACATATAAGTAAAGGGACTGGAGTACTATATGACATTCTATTCCCTTCAATTTCATCCTAGGGATGGGTAACAAATGGAAGACAAAATATAAGTAAAAAGTAGACTGCAAATTCTTTTCTTGAAAACCCATTAAATAAACAGAAACTTCTTTTTAGAAAATTAACATAACCAATATTAATTTGAAGACTTCAAATCTGGGATTTTGTTTCGCATGAAAATCACACCTCAAGAAGAACCACATAATCAGATATGCTCATCTTCTAGGAAAAACAAATGAAAACACACAACACAATTGCTTAATCTGTATCTTCTTTACAACAAATGATATATTCTAGAAAATGAATAAAAAAAGTATGATATTCAAAACAAGAATGAAATTTGCTTACAACGAGTAGCTTAAAAATTTATGAAATTCAAAGAAAAACTATAAGAAATTCTTAGCAAGAATGAAATTAGCATACAAGGATTAGCATATACAACTTTATGAAATTCACAGCGAGGATGAAATTAGCCCGAACTCGAAATGACCAAACCCGAATCCAACCTGACCGACCGATTTGCCAGCTCTAACATACATAACAATAACACAACCACTCATAACAAATAATTAGAGAGTGAATTCTAACTTTTCGATTCGCTTTAATTTCAGAATATTAGATTTAGATAATGAATTCCAGTTCTGTTATGGCATGCATATGTATGTTGTCATGCTCTTTCTATCAGACTGTTGACCTATCTTAAAATAGCCATGTTACTCAATGTCTTTTGTTACCAAGTTAACGATATCGCTATCGTATTGGGTCTGATCTAATCTGATTGGATCTGATCTAATCTGATTAAATCTGATTTGATTTGATTGAATCTGATTTTATCTGATTGGTCTGATCTGATCTGATTGGATCTGATTTGAGCTGATTGGATTTGATTTTATCTAATTAGATCTAGTGTAAATGAATTTAAATTTGATTTAAATTAAACTTAAAATTATTACAAAATTTAATAGTTTTAGAGTATTACAATTCATATATACATAAAAAAGTAAAATAAGAAAAATAGGTAATCATTGATATGTTTAAACTTTTTTTAAAAATATTAAACATCTTTTCAATATTACAACTTTTTTAATTTTTTAAAAACTAAATAATCTGGATTAAAATAACTAAATGTTAGAAAATATTGATATTATTCTACA